CCCCTGACCTGCTGCCTGTGCAGCATGGAGACGCCGCTGAGCCAGACCTTGCTGGCAGCCGGGTGCCCCGGGGGACGGACAGACCTGAGGGCTCTCCCAGCTGGGGACTCGCACACAGGGCTCCCTCACTTCCCCGCCTTGTGCCCCTGGGCTGCAGATGCAGACATGGCTCTGCCTCCTTTTTGCAGGATCCTTTGGCTTTTCAAATCCTGGCTCACTTGCTGGTGTGGTTAAACACGGGCTGACAAGTCCCAGCAGCCTCGTCACGTGGAAAACTGCCGGCGGCATCGCAGGGGTGAGCAGGACACGTACCTGCACCCCTCCCAGCGGAGCAGCCCCCCCAAACCCCACTGTACCCACTGCTCCCCTCCTGCAGCCCAGAGCGTTGCCTTCAGGGGTGCTGGGAGGCGGGATGGGAGGCTTCCCACCCTGACCTCCTCCCTGCCAGCCCTGTTTGGTACCGGGAAGCCTGCATGGCGCTGAGGACACCTCGGGCACCTCCACAGCATATCAAGGGCTGATTCAAAGCAAGGAGTGAGCAAAGGGCACTGGCAATGTGCCAGTGGATTTTATACCCGCAGAGCTACAGGAGAGCAGCTGGAAGGGCCACAGGAGGTGACCACGATCTCCCCTGCCCCAGGCGAGCAGCATGGACCTGTGGCCCTACTTGTAGCATGGGCCACCCTCAGGCTGGCACTTCCAGTGTGTAGCATGAGGACTTTGGGAATCCGTGGACTCCCTTGAAGGCCATGGAAAGTAACTCCGAAAAGTAAAACTAGAGTTAGTGGGCTTACGTGCAGTAATTAGGGCTTGTGTGGCCACGTGGATAATGCTTAGGGGTCTGCACATTGAAAAAGGCTGAGAAGTCCTGCCACAGACTCAAACAAAGCAAAGGAGAACCCCTGCTGAGACCCCATTTTTTTTAAATAAAGGCTGCACAAATCCCCAGGACATTTCTATGGTTTTTATAACTGGATTACCTAGTAAAATCAGTTCTTGTGTCTCCTGAAATCAAACCAGGTCAAAACACACCGCCCACCTGTGGTGTCCTGTGCTGAGGCACAGTGATCAAAAGATATGGAAAGGCAAAATCTTTTGCCAAGATTTGAATTTTTTTTTTTTTTTAGAATCTGTCTTCAGCATGTCCAGAAGTGGTGTCTCCTCCCGCTGCGGAAAAGGCAGTGGGGATTTTGGAAGCAGCAGATGTCCGACGCATGGGGCTGCAGTGCTTTTGCTCCAGGGATCTTGACAGACTCCATGCGCGGCAGCGGGGCTGCACACTGCCACTGGGAGTTTGACCGCTCCTGGTGGCTGGAAAACTCATGGAGCAACAGGAGTGTCAAGCTCTGGCAAGGAGGCATTTGTAATGACACCCTGTTTTGCCCTGACCTTTTTGTGCGAAAGTCAGCAGCCCTTTTAAACTGAATTCCCCTGATATCTCTCATCCTACCAGTGCTGACTCCAGCCTGCAATGGGACATTTTATTTTCCCACAAGTAACTGCTTTAAAAGCCCCTCTGGGAAAGCGTAACCCATCCCTCACGTGTGCTGCCTCTCCTTCAGCAAAGCAGTGAAGCCTGCTCCGGACACTGTCTGCCTGCAGTGTCTAAATCTATATTTTGAGACCTCATTTTAGAGAAGTCAGTAGCAAGAGACCTTTTGGCTCATAATGAAGCTGCCGGAGGGACAGTTTGATCCATATTCAGTTCAGCCACCGAGGATTTCTCCAGGCTTTTGTCTCTGTCCTTTGAGGGTGACGCAGCCGCTAAACCTTTTCCTTAGAGGCAGGGGGAGGGGGGGGGGAGGAGGAAAAGCTGGTGAGGAGAAACTGCTGATGCCTCCCACCAGCACAGGAGTCAGGGGCTGACAGGCAGCAGCCAGAGGCGGACGTGTCCTTCCAGTGAAAGAGCACGGCTTGCCCCAAGCCCGGGATTGATTTTATCCTGCAGAGTAATGAAAAGCTCCTTAAAGCATGCACAGCCAGGAATGTGCCATACTGGTGAGAGGTACTGAGAGTAAACCGCGAAGGGCAGAGGTGGGAGAAATGGCCTGTCCTCTCCACTGCCAGCCACCGCAGAGCTGGGATGTCCCAGCACCCCAGGGCTGGAATGGCCCAAGCCCGGGATTGATTTTATCCTGCAGAGTAATGAAAAGCTCCTTAAAGCATGCACAGCCAGGAATGTGCCATACTGGTGAGAGGTACTGAGAGTAAACCGCGAAGGGCAGAGGTGGGAGAAATGGCCTGTCCTCTCCACTGCCAGCCACCGCAGAGCTGGGATGTCCCAGCACCCCAGGGCTGGAATGGCAGCAATCCTGCCAGTGCTCCCAGGTCCTGCTGTGCTGCCCCTCCCCAGCCCAAGACCAAACCACCTGCAAATGCATCTTCTTGTGCGCTCCGAAGGCAAGCAGCAACCCGGTGGAGAGCCCGGGTGGCTCCCAGGGATGCTGTGGCAAAATGGAGAGGAGCCCGTATGAGAACCGTGCCACTCTCCTTTGCTGGGATTTGCATTTTCCAAGGGAAAGGGCCATTTCACACCATTTATTGGGGGTCCTTTGGGCTTGCCTGGGCTCCCTGTGGTAGGAATTTACTCTTCCCTCAATGAGCCCTGGCTGATGGCGTCACTCTCTTGCTTTCTGCAGTGGAGCCAGAGTTCAAATATGTCGGGAACATGCATGGGAACGAGGTGCTGGGCCGTGAGCTGCTGCTGCAGCTCTCCGAATTCCTGTGCGAGGAGTACCGCCGGGGCAACGAGCGGATCACCCGCCTCATCCACAACACGCGCATCCACATCATGCCCTCCATGAACCCCGACGGGTACGAAGTGGCTGCCAAACAGGGAACCACCAGGCAGCGATCGCCTCCTCCAGCCGGGTAGGGGCAGAAAGCCCTTCAAATCCCTGCGGGATCCCCTTTGCTGCGCCTGTGGGGAGGGGGCATCTTTTCTCTGCGTGCCCTGCCAAACCCAGCCCTCTCAATCAGCATCATTGCTCCTCACCTCCCCTGCCAAGGGCTTGCACTGTATGTCCTGCTCCAGGTGGCCCTGGCAGGTGGTGGAAGAGTCTTCCTACACCTTCTTTACCCTCCCCAGAAGTTATTTGTCACAGGAGGGTCACTGCAAATCTCCCTGCCCTAGAATGGGGAAGTGGCAACTGAATGTCACTGTCGTGAGCAGACAGGGAGATGAGGGATGGGGCGGGAGGGAAGCCCTCTAGTCCCACCACAAAACCTCACCCATTCTTTTGTACCGCTAGACCTCAGGGAAATATTTTATTCATGGCTTTTTCAGTTGAGGCAAATTGTTTATTTGGCTTGTGCCTTTCTCTGTGACCCTGGAAAATTAAGATATTGTTATTGACTTTCCCTGTCAGTACCAATACTCTTTATTCTCCTGCCAGCAATAACACACGCGTTGTGACTCAAAGGCGCCGAAGCGCCGTTAGGACAGCCGGTCCCTGCCGCTGCCACCCAGCCTGCCTGCGCCCACCCTGTACTCACCCCCGTGATGCACCTTTGCCCCACAGGGCCCCGACAGCAACGGGTACTTGACGGGGAGGAACAACGCCAACGGAGTGGACCTGAACCGCAACTTCCCTGACCTCAACACATTCATGTACTACAGCGGGGAAATCAGCGGGCCAAATCACCACATCCCGCTGCCTGAGAACTGGAAAAGCCAGGTACCGGTCTGGGATGCTTTGAGGACTGTAGCATCCTCTTAGAGTGGCTCAGCACCCAAGCAAATATACTGTCCTTCGGCTTGCACGGTGTTTGTCTCCTTCCCCGTGCCTCCCGATGCAGAGAAATGATGGATTCCTGCCCTTTGTCACAGCTTGCAGCTCCACCAGGAGAGGCCGGCATCTCAGCTGGCTTGGGGAGGTGGTTGCAGTGCACAGGGCAGAGGAGGTGGCACATGCTGGCTGGCCCCTGTGCCTCGGGATTTAGGGCTGTGCTGCGAGAGCTGTAGCAGGGTGTGCACAGGACAAGGCAGCTCTGCGTATCAGGGCAGGTCGTGGAGAACAGAGGAAGCTGCAGGGGCTGAAGCAGGAAAATTGCAGGGCAGGGTCTGACGTGACCAATCATGCTGTAGCTTGGCGTGGAGCATCAGCCAGCCCAGAGGTGGCTGAGCTCTTCTTCCTGTCCCCTTCCCTCTTCTCATCACAGGTGGAGCCGGAGACACTGGCTGTGATCCAGTGGATCAGCAGCTACAACTTTGTGCTCTCGGCCAATCTGCACGGTGGAGCGGTGGTGGCAAATTACCCCTATGACAAGTCTCAGGACCAGCGGTTCACGAGCCAGAAGCAGGGTCACCTACAGCAGGCTGCACAGGACCTTGTCCAGGCGGGGCTTGAATATCTCCAGAGAAGGAGACTCCACAACCTCCCTGGGCAGCCTGTTCCAGTGCTCTGTCACCCTCAGAGGGAAGAAGTTCTTCCTCATGTTCAGGTGGAACCTCCTGTGCTTCAGTTTGTGCCTGTTGCCCCTTGTCCTGTCGCTGGGAACCACTGAAAAGAGTCTGGCCCCATCCTCCTGACACCCACCCTTCAGATATTTATAGGCATTTATAAGGTCCCCTCTCAGCCTTCTCTTCTTCAGGCTAAACAAGTGCAGCTCCCTCAGCCTTTCCTCATAGGAGAGATGCTCCAGTCCCCTCATCATCCTCATAGCCCTTCGCTGGAGCGTCTCCAGTAGCTTCTCATCTTTCTTGAACCAGGGAGCCCGAGCTCCTGCGCCCCAGCCCTGGCAGAGTGCAGCGTGCGAGAGCTGGCCAGGAGTCTCTGGGTGACTGCCTCGTGCAGGAGCCAAGCCAAGAAACGTGTTGGAAGTAAGCGTGAACAGACTACGGCATTTCTGCCAGCCACCAGCTCATGAGCCAGGTCAGGGCAGTCCCAACGTGAGCCGGTCCCACAACACGGACAGGCCAGTCTTCACCGTCGGGGACTCCTTTCTCCTCTGTGCCGTGTTTGGGTTCCCCATAACCCCAGTACCACCAGTCTCACCACCAGCCTCTGCTCTTCCAGAGCTAGAGCCTGCCCCCAACTTTGCTTTGCCGTCATAGCATGTATATGGGGCTTTTTCCTAGAGAGGTGGCAGGGTCTGGCTGGGGGTCTGTTGGGAGCAGGATACGAGAGGTGGGTGCTCAGCAGGGGCTTGTGGATTTCCAAGAATAAGGAATACAATGAAGAGAGTTCTAGGAGCATAAGCAGACATCAGGGAATGTATCGGTCCATGCTGCTGATCCTGCTAGCGCTAGCTGAAGCCTGTGATTTTTCTCCATTGTTAAAATGTCCCAGAAAACAGCGCCTTCAGTCACTGCTTCCATTAGGAAATAGCCGGCACAAGGAAAAGCAAGTCTGCGTTAGAACAGTTAATGAGAAAAAGAAGTCTGAGCTGGAGTTCAGCCTTCTCTGGAAGCAGAGGCTGTGCAGGGGCTTGCCAGGACCTGCTGGGATCAGGGCTGTGCTCAGACCCAGATGTAGAGAGGCTGCAGTCTGGGATGTAGGCTAATGATACCCACATAGTCTCAGAAGTCAGAAATGTAGTGAAAT